ATGGCAAGTCCTGGCACCTGGTAAAGCTGAAAATTGGGTACATTAATGGAAGACTGGTGGATGAAGCTGGAAAGGAAGGTCCATATCATGAAGGCTTTTTGGTGTGATACTGAGATTTGGCTTCTAGTCTTTAGGAAAGGAGCCACAGAATATTTCTAAGCAAAAAAGTAACAATCATATCTATCTTAGAAAGATTAATCTGGTAGTAACAAAGAATGGATTGGAATGAGGGTAGAGGCAGAGGACTGCAGGCAGCCTGGAACATTTTAGGCTATTTTAAGAGTCCAGGTAAGATGAATATCTACTATAACAAGAAAGTAGACAAATTATGAACATTTCCGGGGTCAAGAAAATCTCATGACAAACATTGTACATAGTTAGAAGAAAAGATAGAGAAATCAGGTAACTGTGCAATGACCAGGCAGAGACATAGTGATGCCAATACCCAAATTAGGAGGGAAAGGAAGAGCTAATGCTTGGGGGCAAGGGAGAAGAGAAGGATTTAATTCTGATTACACAGATCTTAGAGCTGAAGTGAGAAACCAAGGCGGACTGAAGTCATGGGGTCACGAAGATAATTCAGGGACAAAGTGTAGAGACCTAAAGAACCTGCTTTAAATTGTGGTGGCTAAGGCAAAAAGACATCCAAAGAAATGGAAAAGCAAAACAGAACAGATAGGTCATACATACAGAGTTTTAGGGAGTAAAAGATTGCTAACAAATGCCACAAGGATTAAACAGAAGTATTAAGGGGCGCCTGGGTGGCTCAGTCGTTAAGCGTCTGCCTTCGGCTCAGGTCATGATCCCAGGGTCCTGGGATCGAGCCCCACATCGGGCTCCCTGCTCAGCGGGAAGCCTGCTTCTCCCTCTCCCACTCCCCCTGCTTGTGTTCCTTCTCTCGCTGTGTCTCTCTCTGTCAAATAAATAAATAAAATCTAAAAAATAAATAAATAAACAAACAGAAGTATTAAGAAATGAAGCCACTGAATTTGGCAGTCAAAAGTTGACCTTTGAGAGAACCACTTCAGCTGGGTGACTAAATTTGAGGATTAAGACAAAATTATACTGAAATGAGGAAGTGAAGGCAGACAGTTTTCCAAGAACTCTGTCAGTCAGGAAGAGGTATGGAACAACAGCATAAACAAAAGCCAGACTGAAGAAGTTTTTGTTTTTGTTTTTTTAAAGAAGATAGAAGACTCGAGATTTTTCACATATATGTCTGGCTCAGTTAAAAACAAAAACAAAATTTCAAAGAAAGAAGAAACTTGGGTAGAGGGAGGATGTAGAACTGCCTGTCCAAATAAAATTTTAAACGCCATATTATGCAAAATATTTGCAACTATACTGACTTGTCCCTGAATCTGCATACTTTGTAGTCTTCAGTAGTACCAAGGCAATGAACTTTATAGGAAAGCATACAGATTTAACATTTTAAAAATATAGATGTGTAAATTCTGAATTTCAAAATGTGTAGAAGGATCCAGAGTTCTTATATTTTAATAGTGCGGTTCTTGGAAGGCAAATAATAGTAATAAAACATGTAAGTAGTATGTTTTAATTTTACTTTTAATTTCTAGTTAACATAAATTCTATTTGCCTACATTTTATTCTAAGCTCATTCACACTCCCTGGTTGGGCCTAAAGTCCTAGAAGGGAAGATAACCTGAAATGCAAGATGTTATCCCCTTCTTTTTCCCTGATCTCCCAGTAGAGATATGACACAGAACATCTGTAAACGTAAAGAAGAAAAGGCATCTCTGCTTTTAGCCTCTTGTGCTTGACATTCTAAAAAGCGATGGTTTCCATCTGCAATATGCAGTATGTTAAAAAAAGAAAAGCCAGAGCAGAGAGAGAGATTTATACTTCTTCCGAGTTGTCCTTTTAATTATTTTATCTGAGGTACACTGTCAGTGCCAAACATGTCAAACATAACTTTTTCATGAAATAGACAAGGCATTCTAAAACCAGTAAAATTCTGTTTACATATCAAAGTAGTTACATCAGGTAGAATATTAATAATCAAGAGCTCTTCTATCACTCTGAAGACCTACAACCCATCATGTCACTTTTTACCAGCTTAAAAGTATCTTGAAAACAATGCACTTTTGTCCTCCCTTCCTGGGACAGAAATAGTCCCGTCTAGAGGGAAGGGAAGTGATTTAGCATGCCATCCCAGCACCCACACCGAACTAGTTTAACAGCCTTGCTTAAGGTAATCCTCAATATTCTAGGCTGGCATGAGCCAACGTTTGATAATTTTTAAGAGAAAAAAAAGACTTTCAGATTGGAATCACTTTCAAGATCTTATGGTTTCATTTGAAGACGAAGAAACAAGAACTTTTAAAGATGATGAGATGAAAATGTCAAATATAAGAAAATAATACAAAACAAAGGTAAAAAGATTACAGTTATCAATTTTAGTATTTATTGAAAGGTGGAAGACAAGGAAAATTCCTCTCAAACTCTAAAAACAAATCTTGCATCTCTGCTAAATGTAAAATGAACTTTTAGATATTTGCTTTACATGACAATAAACTTGTCCAACAAAATAACTGAATGCAAATTTACCAAAACAGTGCTAATCTATTATTTACAAAAATGATCTCACCTGCCATTATGTATTTGGGGAAAAAAACCGTTTCACACTCAGGAACACTAATGAAGTAACTTGAAGACATAACACAAGAAATAAAATTTGTCCTACCCTCTCTGGCCCTCCCCTCCCTAAAGTTACAGAATGGATTGAAAATGAATATATGTGGGAATAAACATAGTATTTCCAATAATCTTACTTACACACACACACACACACACACACACACACACACGAGTGTTGTGCCTGATCAACCTAATCTTTATTTAAGGTCAGCAGCCTTAGGGAAAAGGGAGATAATGAATATGGCTTTAGTCAAGTTTTCAACTAAATATCACAAATGCTTAATTCTTTTGCTACCTAACCAGCTAACCTGAGAATGGAAAAGATTCTACTTCTTCAATAGCTAATAGGTATGAACCAAAGTAATTAAAAAACAAAACACGGTAGCAGACACCACTGAGGTACCTTAGTTTTTTTTAAAGGTCTGTGTATCAATTTAATAATTTACATAATAACTGTTTATATAGCATAAGATCATATAGAAACTACATCTTAAGTGCTTTATCGTTCTGGTCCAAGAAATTGGAAAAATCAACAAAAAAACGAGTGTTCAGGTAAAGAACTGGAATGGAGTAACTAGGAAACCATTAATATAATGCAATATTGAAATAGAAATTATGTGTGTTTAAAAAAGGTAATCAGCAAGTTCTTAGATTGCAACTGAAGAGGATTTTAAAAATTATAACCCGTAAACGGACAAGGGATATAATATTATTCAAGGTGACAAAGCTGTATCTTGAAATCTTGAGCCCACTGATTTGTTTCATTTATATTGTAAAATGCAAACATATATGTATTTTACAAAACTTTTAAATTTTCAAAATATGGAGAAGTTTTGAGTATTGGTCATATAAAGAACTCTACTAAAAGCAACCACTGTGGTTATTTTAGATATGTCTTTTAGTTAAAAGTTTAAGGCTCAAGATATTTTGGAGGGATACTCTAAAGACATTTTATTACGGTATGATCTCATGTATCTATGTGTATACTACTAGAAAACTAAAATATTGTTAAATATATCACTCTACAATTAAAAAAAACATTTTAACCACTTCAATTAAAAAAGAAAACGTTTTAACCACATGCTCTCCTATTTCTCAATACTGGTTTGTTATGAACTTTTATATCCCCAAAAAGTAGATGCAAATGATAAATTTAGCTTAACAGAGATTAAAGTGGTGAGGAGCAGGCTAAGACGGTAACATAAAACAAAGTCCCTATTTACATTATCATGATTTATACCTTCCTTATCCCATGAAAATTCCTATATTGCAAATATATTGATTTCCTATAAACCATTGAGATTTCCTACAGTATTTGCCTAACCCTTTTAAACTGCGGGCCAGAAATGATGTCACTGCTGCAATTGATTTTTTCTGGTGAAATGCCTCAACTGGCTTCTCCCTAACCATAAAGATAAGCAGTTTTATGGGTACCACAAATGACGCTGGAGCAGAAACAATTTCAACAGCAACACTAAACAAAAGACAGCACAAAGAATCTCAGTTAAAAGTCATTAACCAAAGTATGAGCCCAGAAAAATACCAAAGATAAATAAAATAAATGTGCAATGAGCAGTGTTCCTTATACCAAAGCATACATTAAAGACATCTGTTTGACTTTTAATTACAGTAGCGGAAGCAGTCTCAAATAGTGCTGAAGTCCATCACTGAAGAGATCTATTTTAATCGTTAGCTAGGCACTGGCAATCCTACCCTAATTTTACTTTCCAGGGCTTTTTTGAGAAAAAGGTAGGGAGAAGGATCCTTAGAAAAATGAGGTAACACATCTTATTTTGTTACTTATATCTCTGTATATGGCAGCTGAGTCATGGCCCTTAAGATTTTGTATTTGTCAGACTTTCCTCCTGTTCTGCGAGAAAAATGTTAAGAGAGGATTTTAACTGCTCACAACTAAACATTCTGTAACTAAAGATTTTTACTCAGCTACTATTAAATACAATACAGGTGCTTATTAGTAAGAACATTTTCTCAACTTCTTCTCATTCCAGACACTCTATATAAAGATTTACGTTAGGGCTATGTAATCTGGCCATGTAACTTCATGAGTTAGAAGAGTTCAATACCACTAACAGACCTTGTTTCTCCCAACTTCATAAAACTGCTTCTATTACCTAAACTGCTTTCTGAATGTTGAATATAAATATTTTAAAATGTATTCCAGGGAGTGAGGCTAGAAGTTTCACATATTCACCTTATTCAGCAATTTAAGAAGTTATGCAAAATATGATATACATATCTATATATATTCCCATACATACACACATTATATAAATATGCTTTCATAACTGAATCTTGTTTTCAAAAATGCTTACACAGTGTGGGGAATTTAAATATTCACTAGATTCGAATACTTACATTTGCACTCCATTACCACTCTAAATGGATATACCAGCAGAAACGTAATAGACCAAATAAATGACTTAACTGAATTGTCAGTTTGTCTTTTTGCAGACCCAACAGAAAACATATTTATTATTATGAACCTTTATTAAGTGGCTCACATTTCAGTATAAATCACACTAAAAAGATTTTAAAAGCTATTTACACTACAGTGCTGACACATTAAAATGAAAAAAAAAATTGGTATAAATAAGCTCTATGGAAAAGCCTTAAATTGTCAAAAAAGAATTCTGGCTCATATTACAAAAAATATATATATATATATGTTAATGTCAGCTCTATTCTAAAACCTACAATTCCAAATCAAATGATTCTTTAAAGACTCCTTTTGTTTAAACCTGTAATATTTACAGTGCATCTGGCCCTAAGTGCTTTGATCCTTCACAGTTATGGACAGGCACTGAGGAATGTTACAAAGCTACATAAACTCTATTTTGTAACAGACTTGGGAGCAAGTCCTTGGCTTGCTTTCAGAATTCATGAATCTTTATTACATTATTAACTTTAAAAAAAAAATTTTAAATGGTATGTACAAATTTAGCACAAAATGTCATCATCTTTTCTATCTTGATTTGAATGTGCTGAACTATGTTGCCTTGTATCAACTAGACTTATGAGACTTCCAGGGCACAATTCTTCTTTTAAATCTTTGTTGCTATTTTCAAATTTAGAGTCCATGTCAATCTTAAATTCTGTAAATTGAACATGATCCAATTTTGCTTTAACATTCTTGCCATCCATATTATTCGGTGCTCTAGTCTTTTCAGGAATATAAACATTCACAGGTTCTTCCTTGATTCTTACAGCTGCAATAGGTTCATGTTTAATCTGCTGTAATTCAGATTTAGAATGAAGTTTGTCTGAAAAATTAGAATCCAAGGAGGTTTTGCTTACAGCACAAATCACGTGGTCAGTGTGAGGTCCAAGAACTGATGTTGTGGAATCTGGTGATGTGCCTGTTTCGTGAGTAGCTGTATTCTGAGCAGTCTCCTCCTCTGAGTGATACAACTTGAGCCGAACATGCCATGCTAAACTGCATACTGCTGAAACTGTCTTGAACTGATGAACAACATTCCTTGGAATAAAATAAATGTCATTATCATACAGCTGAATCCTGGCATAGCGGATGCCTTCCCTCCTCAGTTGATTAAGTTTTGCATCATCAACCCACTGGACACACTAAAAAAAAGAAACAGGAATACCATTAAGTCTTTTCTACAATAAAAATTAAACTGAAGACAATAATAGTTTAAGATATACCTGGGACAGTGGAGGTTCATGTAAATCTAACTGCATTCGTTGAACTACTTCTAAGAAATCTTCAGCATGAAAACAAATTACATCTTTGGTTATTCGGGGTTGAGCAGGCCTAAAAAAGAACATGAGATAATGAAGAATCTTCCATTAATGTTTCACTCTGTTAAGTCCTTATTAAATTTAAAGCAAAAATAGTTTGTGGTCAAAACAAAAGTACCTAGAAATAAAGTTAAAATGTAATTAGAAGATCACTCTACATATTTAAACAAAGGGATAAAACCATGAGTTTTGACCTAAACATAAATAAAAACAACTAACCTCATTTTATTATAGCTATGTAGAACCATATTTTGAAAAATTAAAATAATCTGAATTGGTTAATTATGCAAATCAAAAAACTAAGGGCTTTGTCTTAAAGGTCAATACTTCAACAAATTAAATGCTAAAGATGAAACTACTACATAAAAATTAAGAAGTAAACATGGGGAGAAGAGTACTTTCTTCTAATAAAGACATATATAACTGCAGTTATATCTAAAATTCCTAAGTAACCCTTAATAAATTAAGAGACCTTCATTTAGAAAAGTGCTAATAAATAAACTATTATCACTCTATTTGTGGGAGTTAATAGTGTCTAAATATAGTTCTAAAAAAAATTCCCAAATTCTTCAATTAATTAGCAATATACAAACACATTTTTACAGAAGATGCTCAAAAATGGATTTCGAAATGAAATTCCAAGCAACATAAATTCAAAAAAAAAAAAAAAAGAAAAAATCATACCAAGGCAAATCATGAAGAAATTTTTAAAAACCAGTGATAAAGGGGGGCCTGGGTGGCTCAGTCATTAAGCATCTGCCTTCAGCTCAGGTCATGATCTCAGGGTCCTGGTATGGAGCCCTGCATCAGCCTCCCTGCTCGGCAGGAAGCCTGCTTCTCCCTCTCCCCCTCCCCCTCTTGCTGTCTCTTAGTGAATAAATAAAATCTTCAAAAAAAACCCCAAAAAAACCCAAAAACAGTGATAAAATCTAAACCTTAAGGCTCCTGGATGGCTCAGTCGGTTAAGCGTCTGCCTTCGGCTCAGGACGTGATCCCAGGGTCCAGGGATCGAGTCCCACATCGGGCTCCCTGCTCAGCAGGGAGCCTGCTTCTCCCTCTCCAGTCAAACCCAAAAGAGTAAGACTACATTCTAACAACTGAAAATCTTTAGTGCAATTATACAATTAGGATATCCAAATACTGTGAAAAATGAAACTTACTTTCCTTACAGTAAGGAGAATTACTGAGAAACTTCCCAAGAAAAATTTTAGAAGCCAAGAAAACCTATCATTAAAATAGCAGTAGCTCAAAATTAAACAAAAAAAGCAGTAGTTAATACATACCACTCTCCACAGTGCACAGCTTTCAACACTCCGACAGCAGCTGTAGTCTGTCGTTCAAAACCTTGTCCTATATGATCTGCATGGGCTCTTGTTCTGTCTTCAAAGAGCATCTCACGGGGCTCACTGGTTCGAGGTAGGTACTGCAGGTTTTTTATTTCATTGGTAGTTCTGTTAAAATAAAATTACATATATATAATATAAAGTGGAGGTGGGGAGGCAGGCCTATGTATTAAGCTTTAATTGCCTTCAAACATTTGTATTGATGTACTGAGGCTTAACTGCCATGAAGCATTTAGTAATCACGTAATTCAGACAGAAGGAAATTTTAAATCACCTGCTCCCAAATCAAGTTCTATTTTTAAAATGAACAAGTAGAAACAAAAACAGATATATAATCCCCTCCTTTTTCTAACATACCCTTCACAAAAGTGGCAGCTGTAGTGTGGATAGACTACTAAATTACAGATGGTGTGGTTTACCCAAAAGTTCCCCTGTCCAGAACCTTTACCTGAGGTTTGTTTGGGTCTTATCTGCAGAACCATGCCCCCACTCAAGTCACATGGCTAACGTAAGATATGTATCTGGAACAAACAGGTAACTTTAAAAATGGATTAATTAATATTTAGAGAATACCTATTATATACCAGGTCCTATCTAGGCACTGCAGCTAGTGAACAAGATAGTAATGAAAATAACAGACAAGTCCCCCACTTTCATAAGAGTTCATACTCCAGTGAGAAAAGGACCAACAAAGAAATAGCAAGAAAACACCAAATAATAACTGCTTCCACAAAACACGCAGGACTTATTGGAGACAGAAAGAAAACCTTAGCTCTCTCTTGAAGGACAACCACCTGCCACTGGCACTGTCTCAGAGCTACTGCTCACCTAGATAGGCACATACAAGCTGCTACTTAGCCTCATTCAATGCAAACCCCTGTGTAGTTCTGCTGCATGGAAGTGAGGGAGAGTTTCTTTGGGAGTCGTCATCTTACTTATCTTTCTGTAGAGTTTTCTGTTGCTTTCAGAGACAATTCCAGATTGCCCCAATTTTCTCCTCTCATCCTCATCTTAAACCCCTAGAATCGCCCCTTCTTACTAGTTCTCTAATTTCCCACCCTCAATCTCTACTACTTACTGCTCTCTGTGCACTCCTGTATCACAGTCGTATTACACACTCGCACACACATGTGATGCTACAACATACTTTTTTTGCCCTTTGTGACCGATGTTCTATAGGTGTCAGAAAGCTAGATGATGACCTTAATTCCTGTGGAAAGCTACCAGACTTTCAAGCCTACAACTTTGGTCTCATTAACACCACTTTTTTTTAACTTTATTTTATTATGTTATGTTAATCACCATACATTACATCATTAGTTTTTGATGTAGTCATTAACACCACATTCTAACGAATTAAGACTTTATATGAAGCGGGGCACCTGGGTGGCTCAGTCGGTTAGGCGGCTGCCTTCGGTTCAGGTCATGATCCTGGGGTCGTGGGATTGAGCCCCACGTCCGGCTCCCTGCTCAGCGAAGAGCCTGCTTCTCCCTCCCCCTCTGCCTGCCACTCTGCCTACTTCTGCTCTCTATCAAATAAATAAATAAAATCTTAAAAAAAAAAAAGACTTTATATGAAGCATTTAGCACTGTGCCTTGGGCAGTGTTAGTAGTTGCTCAGACTACAATGTGATGTGAAGTCACATTACATGGATTCTAATCCCTGAAGTACATACAAGCAGGTTCCTCAGAGGGCTGGTGAACTCCCTTATTAAATTACATGTAAAACTTTGTGGATATCTGTACTTGTTCTGGGGAGAGGCTTTCAGATCTCAAAATGATTTATAAATCCAAGTTAAGAACCACTGAGAAACACACCAATTTTATCATTTACTACCAACTTATAAATTAACTTGTAAAAATTTCATTCAACAGATATTAAGCAGCAGGCACTGTTTATGTGCTAGAGACACATTAAGTAACAAGTACAACATGGGCCCCTGTCCTCATGTAACCTACAGTTTACTCAGTGACCATTTTCCCTGGTTTTTAAGATTAATAATCACTGTAACTAATAATAAAACATCTTTACAGACCTAAAAAAAGGTATCTATCACCCACTTCATTCCCACCAATGTTAACGCTGTGCATTTTTTCCATACTTTTCTGTGTTCACATAAATATACACTTAACACATTATTTATTTCTTTTCATACAAACAGAATCATACTGGCCATATTACTCTATATTTTGCTCTTTTCAAATGTCATGAACAATCTCCCTGATCAACAGACATAAATAATTCATTTATTTAACTATTTCACCATATATTTTTTTAAGATTTTATTTTTTTAAGTAATCTCTACACCAAACGTGAGGCTCAAACTCACAACCCCAAGATCAAGAGTCACATGTTCCACAAACTGAGCCAGCTAGGAGCCCCAAAGGAATGGATATTGGGGTTTTGGGGTTGTCTTTTTTTTTAAAGATTTTATTTCACCATATCCTTAATAGGAATGTACCAAAATGAATTCAACCATTCCACTGTTAATGGGCATTCAGACCATTTTAAACTTTTTCTCACTCCAAATAATGCTGCAATTAATATTCTTATACATTTACCTTTAGTGCTTTCTTTTTTTAGGACAGATTCCCAAAAGTGGTAGCGCTGGATCAAAGAGTGTATGAATGAATGTATATATATGTATAACATATATATATGTTAAACTTCATGAGCTATTGTTAAATTACTTTAACAGAATGATTATAGCAGATCACCTTTCTACCAATAATATATAAATGATCCTGTTTCCTCACATACCTACCAGTCTATAATATTATTGTTCTACTTTTTTTGCCAATGTAATAGGTAAAAATAGTATCTCATAATTCTTTTAATATAACTGGCTGAGGCCTATTTTTCTACTGGGATATGTTATATTTTTCTTATCAATTTGGGAATGCTCTATGTATATTAACTTTAGTCTGTCACATGTTACAAAATGTTTTAGTTAAGTGTATCATAGTTCTGAACTTTGTTAACTTTTCTTTCATAAATAGTATTGTCACTACATATCTTTATATTGCTTAGAAAGGTCTCTCCTAGGTTTAAAAACTTTATTCTTATATTTTAATTTTTTTATCTATTATGTTCAAATCTCTAACTTACTTCTTATATGAGATAGGGGCTATGGCTTTGTTTTCTTTCAAAAGGAATTCAATTATGTCACCCTTACTCATTAAATAAATCTTCCTTTTCCCATCTATCTCATACATTAAGTTCTCAATATACTTTGATCTATCTGGGTACTCTACCCTACTCCAGTGATCTTTTTGAGCTTTATAATAATTTTTAGTAACTAGTAACACAAGGCCCCCCTCACGTATCTTCTCTTTCACAGTTTTCTTGGCTATTTGTTGACTTTACTTATTCTTCCTTCTAAACTTTAAAATCATTAAATCCAGTGCTGGAAGTGTGAGTTCAACCAACTAAAATGCTAAAAATTTCAAAGGACTATCATTTTTATCCAATCTGGAACATAGTAGGGTTTTTGATTTGTTTCAGTATTATTTTATACCCTCCAGAAGATGTTTACATTTTCTTAATATGGGTTCTGAATGTTTTTTATTAAATTTATTCTAAAAGTTTACAATGTCTTTGTTGTGAAGGACATTTTTTCCACTCCTAATTACAATTTATTGTCATTTGCCCACATTTTTCAAGCCTTATTTATATTTGATATTTTATAAAAAATTTCATTAGCATGTGTAGCCATTTTTGAATTCACATTCCAAGTATGCTCTAAACGTTCCCTTTCTTCTTTCTCCAATTTTCAACACACACACACACCCCCAATGTACATCTATCCCTGGCAATAAAAATTGGTATTCAACATACCTTTTCCTTTTGAAAGGTGACTTTGGCATATCAGCCACAGGGATCATTTGTTCTCCTGGGCGTACCCACATGATGGGACCATCATCACTGTCTTTTCGACTCTCTAATTTTAGACTAGATAGGGTCCCCCATGGCAGTGTACACTAGAGGCAAATAATTACATAGAAACCAATTATTTTCAAAATCCATCTTCAAAACTACATTAAATACTGCCCCCCTGACAAACTTTCATATATACCTTTAATACTTATACATTTGAAATTCAAACCTACATTGAATATATTCCTATGTAGTCATATATTTTCCTTCAAAAATAGGATTTCAAACATACCAAGAGTAATTATGCTTGGATGGCTCCCTCCTTTTAACCCTGCCAGAAATATGATTCACTATATTCATCATTTGTTATTCCTCCTTCTACCAAATATAAGGGTCATATGATGTCAATAAGTTGGCAAAATAAGCAAGTGTTCTCCATGAGAATCTATAAAAATGAACAATTTGTTTTAAAAAATAGAAATCTCAAAAAAATGGATACCTCTTTGATTAGCTATAATGAAAACAAAACAAAAAGGAAAACCCAATCAAAATAAAAATTTATTTCTGTTTAGTAGTTTCTTAAAGAGGTTGCTGGTCTAAAAGCAACTTTTCTTTAAAAAAAAAAGAGAAACGTCTAAGGGCCATTGTCCATGGAAGAGTGAGAATGGTTATTTTAAAAAACCATTCATCCCATCCCCTTTTAAGAAAGGATAGAACTGTCACATGAAATTTCTCCTAAAAGAATGCATTTAGCTCATTTGTCTTTAAAATTAAAATCTGAAACATAAATATTTAAATAATGGTATTTTTAAAATACCACTCAAAATAAATGCAATCAAATTCCATAATGTCACTAGTTGGGAAAAAGAGAAAAGTAACAAAAGGTTTAAAAGGAATAAAAAAGGAAATGAAAGGGGAATGGATTGGAGTGAAAAAGATAAGTTAGAAAAAGTTAGAAAATGGAACAAGAAGTGAAAAAAGAATAGATCTATAACAGATTACGTGGCAAATATTAGAGACAAATGGATTGTCACATTCTGACCTCTGAATTACTGATTAAATAACTACACAGCTCAGAAATTTCTCTCTCAATGGGATAGCCCCAGCAGCCCACAAGAAGAAATATTTTCTAGAATGCACTGATTACTGAAAAAATAAAAAGAATTTGGCTAGAGATCATTTAAAGAATTCAAAGGGGCCTTAAAGCTACATAGCCTAAATGCAATGTTTCATGGATGTGGAAACTGAAGTCCAGAAAGCTTAAATGGCTTGCCCAACCCAGCGAGGTAGAGCCAAGATTGAAATACAGATGTACAATTTCCCAGCCAGTTTTCCACAATGCCAAATTGCCATTCTTTTATCCTAAACATTTAATTTAGTAGGCATCCTTCCTGTACTTCTTAAATCCTCTGATACTCAGTTTATAAAAAGTTAATAAACAGATGGAACCTAATTTCCTAAAGTGGCAGCAACAAGCGCTATTTTTTGGTTCACCACTTAGCTCTGCCATTATGATTAATATCTGAGTCACATGCACACACTATACAAGAATTATATTTCCGAAACAACTATGATTTGGTCACCCACAGCATGAAAGTGACACCCACAATTTAGACTGCTTGATATTGTTTTCTCTTACTTTTAAAAATGGTGAATCTTCCAACATGTCAAGGAATTCAGGGAAGTAATCTCCCACCTCTTCATCAACTGCTCCCACCAAGCTGATCTGTCGCATTGGGCCAGCTCTGTAAGTACCGTGAGAATATGTTCTTTTTACCTGAAGGATATGGATTTAATTAAAGGTTATAAATAAGATAATGCTTGCTATCATTGTTTAACACCAAATTATATTGTCTGAGAATATTAGAACATAATGTGAGGTAAGCAAATCAAAACAAAAAGGCCTTTACAAACAGTAAAAAAATAAAAAACAAGGCATAAAAAAAAATCCATACCAGAGCAAGCTATTGTACCTTCTCCAGCTTTTCCTATACACTGCTTATGAGAACAGAGGTAAGATAACAGTATAATTCTAGATAGCAGACTCTAACTTCTCCTTATAATACAGCTTATTATTTGATCTATAAGGCCAATGAAATTTACAGTCAAAAGTTCATATACCTACATTTTCCTATCTTTTTATCAGAATTTCTAAAAGTAGACTGCCTGAAACGTTACATTTAACCATTACCAGTGGTTTGTATGTCTGAAAGGCCACCAGGAATGATCTTCCCTCCTAGATCATACCACATTAATTAGGATCCAGTTTATATTTCTATGATTAACTCTGAGAAAAACTACTAGAGATTGAGAATCAGGAGTGCTAGGTCCCAACTCTACCTTTACTATCTAGCAGCTATGTGACCTTCAGAAATCACACAAATTCCTTGTATTTTAGTTTCCTTAAGTGGGATGATTTACCTCAGACTGCTGAAGGAAATTTACTAATTACATAAAGCTATAAAGCCACCCGCACAATGCTAGCAGGGTAGCATTCAAGTATCAACTGAAATAAAACCACCTGCACCTCAAGAATCTTGATACATGGGTAGGGGCGCCTGGGTGGCTCAGTCGTTAAGTGTCTGCCTTCGGCTCAGGTCATGATCCCAGGGTCCTGGGATCGAGCCCTGCATTGGGCTCCCTGCTCCTCCCTCCCCCACTCCCCGTGCTTGTGTTCCCTCTCTTGCTGTGTCTCTCTGTCAAATAAATAAATAAAATCTTTAAAAAAAAAAAAAAAAGAATCTTGATACATGGGGGCACCTGGGTGGCTCTGTAAGTTAAGCATCTGACTCTTGATTTTGGTTCAGGTCATGAGCTCAGGGTCATGAGATCAAGCCCCACGTGAAACTCTGCAGTGGGCGTGGAGCCTACTTAATTAAGATTCTCTCCCTCTCCCTCCGCCCCTCCCCACCCACTTAAAAAAAAAAAAGAATCTTGATACCTGAATTCTGGCAAGCACATTTAAATCCTGCAAAGAAATCTATGCCTTTTCATACCCTTATGTTAGGAAACAAGAATCTTTATAAAGCAAAACAACTTCCTTTCATGGGGCGCCTGGGTGGCTCAGTAGGTTAAGCATCCAACTCTTAATCTTGGCTCAGGTCATGATCTCAGGGACATGAGATCGAACTCGAGTGGGGCTTCATGCTCAGCAGGGAATCTAGTTGATTCTCTCCCTCTCTCTCTCTGCCTCTCCCCCTCCACGTGTGTGGCATGCACTTTCTCTCTCCAAAATAAACAAATCTTAAAAAATAAAGTACATTGTAATACAACTTTTACTTATATACCATTTAACCCAACTTTCTAGTTTAATAACCCAATATTCAAACATTCACTAAGTCAGTTGGAATCATTAATTTAATGTTTAAACATGGCAAATTACATAAAACAATGCAAATTAAAAAACACGTATCTCTTGAGAAAATATATAGATGGCACTTAAGCAGTTAAAACAAAATATAGGAATACAATCCACACACCTTTCAGAAAAATAGAAATAGTTCTTGATTTAGGTGACACGTATTTTATTAAATACTATATAACAAATATCCCCTATTACATGGAATGAAATTAAATCTACAATATCGTAAGATTAAAAAGCCTCAATTCTCCAAAAACCATCTATCCAGCTATTACACTCAAGGGCAATGGGGCAGGGGAGGAAAAAGATAAGGGTTTAAAGAATCTCTAGATAGCCAAATAAATGCCGTAAGACCATGACTCATAAAAGGGTCTCTTCTGACACGTGTTTCTACATTAGGCACAATTCTCACTAACCTCTAAAATCATAAAGGATAAGAAACTACAAATTTGAAGGGGGAGGAGTAGCAGGAAGCAAGCATACATAGCTGCAGCTCCCCTAGGATGTCAGTATTATAGCATCATAATGACAAACCTAGACTGAAAAAGGATATCTTCACTAAAATCTTGGTACCCAAAACTAAAGACTTCCATTATCTAGAAAAATCACCTATCTCGAAAACCTCACATCATGATAATACTGGACATGAAATTACTGTATTTGCTTTTTTTCACTTCAGTAAACATTAATCAAACCATCAGTTTTCTGATGCAGTTAAAAAAAATTACTAGAAAATATCAAAACATGTCACTGCTTTAAAACATATCCTATATGCTTCCTAAAAGAAAAATGCATTGTTACAAAGAGTACACATATTTTTCCTCCCAATTTAGGTATAGCTCTTTCAAAAGACAACACAGTAAAAGATAGAAACAGTACTTATTTATATATTTGCAAATACTTGTATTTCAATAGTTCACATTTAAATAGTGCCTGTTAGAACAGATAGACAGATTTTAATCTAAATCTCCTCCCTACAGCTCCTCCCCTTGCCATCCCCAGCCTGGCAAAAAACCTACCAATAGCATGACTGCATGTTTACCTTTCCCCTCATATATTCTCTATAAATGTTACAGAGGGAAAGAAAAAAGCAGTCAATAGGAGACTTCTTGTACCCACTGCCAGTAAGTGCCAATTACAAAATCTCAGAAATATTGGTTAACAAGAAATGAACTGTTTAATTAAGTTATATTTAAACTAAAATCCTAGGGGCACCTGGGTGGCTCAGTCAGTTGAGCGTCTGCCTTTGGCTCAGGACATGATCCCAGGGTCCTGGGACTGAGCCCCTGCATGGCCGCCCCCACTCCACTCAGTGGGGAGTGTGCTTCTCCCTCTGTCCCGGCCCCCCACTCATGCTTGTACTCTCTCTCTCTGAAATATCTTTAAAAAATAAACTAAAATCCTATTCATTACTCGTATCCTATTCATTACTTGTTACATGAAAAGTAATCTTTAAAACAAACAAACAAAAGACCTTACGATTCTGAGGTCAGCCTGCTATAAAAAGAATAAAGTAGCTTTTCTGACAGGGAATACATTGCGAAAAATAAATCTGTTAGACTTAAAACTGTTTTATGTATAAAAATTGCTACAACAAGGGAAGAAGCAAATATGGTAATAAGTAATTCAAAAAAACCACGAATGACTCACTTGAAACGACTTGGGGTTTCCGCAAATATGTTTCCTTATATGGCAGCCCCTGAAAAGAGGATTCTATAGAGTCCACTAAGCTTGGGAAACTCTTCTGTTTGGGAGGTTTACCACACACACTATTACTGACGTTTCAGAGAGGTCTTAAATGGTAAACATAACTTATTTGGCTCAGTATTACACAAAGTATTCTGACTTCCAAACCTGTTTTTCTTATAGTTGTTTTAGCATACCTATCAACATCTCAAGACATTAAAAGTTCCACAGAATAATAGTGAACCATAATAAATACAGAAGATATTACAGATGTTCCTACCTAGCATCAGCATCAATCTGAAGAAAATACAAAAATAGGACAGTTATCAGAACAAAAATTGAGGGGGTGAGGGCAATTCTGGGTGTTTTGTGGGGAGGGGTAAAGGTGAAGGAAAGTCTTATCTTAAAAAACAAGGTTTAGCTCATCACATTCTTTCTGAGGCAATCTAAAATCTAACATAAAGGAGTGTGCCACCAGAGGGAGCCATTTCCCATCACATCTGGCATATCCTTCCAAATCAAAATATAATAGGGAATGACATTTAGTCAACATTCTATTTCAAAAATATCCATATAATTTCAACTAAAATAAGGATGAAAGTGTTATTATTCATTTTAAAATCAGTACAATAAAGGAAAAAGTCCCCTTTCTCAATTAGAGCATCTGGTACCAGCCACAGTAATATTTTGTACAGATCAGTTCATAAGCTTTCAAGGAAGATGTGACAGGCACAAATGGTCAAAATGAGAATTTAGTACAAAGGTAGCCAATGGTTCAAAGATGGCATACCAAATGATCTTTATTGCCTAGCACAGTGAATGATTCTAGCAAGAAGTTAATTCTCCCTTCATTTTGCAGAGGGACAAAGCTTAACAGATCAGATCAGATTTAATAACTGTTTCACTATTAAGATATTAGCCACTTAGTCATGAGTTAACACCTTTACCTAAGTTACCTGATACAAACAACTTAGAACCAGTATAAAATAAAAACAAGATTTAGAGTTTGGGGGAGGGGAAAGGGTGATGAGAAGACAACTGCTCCGTTTTCATATTCTTACAGCTCTAACTACAGGGTTCAGAGTATATGCTGCTTAAATACTGAGTGACAAGAAAGAAATCTTATTTATTCCTTGACAGACAAAACTCCTATCTTACTTGCCTTTTTGTTTCCCTACTATCAAATGAATATTTGAACCAAGTGGAGATGGTAGAAAAATTAGAACAAATGTGGAGGTTGCAAATAGCCAAAAATTCTTCTCAAGTATGTATGTTCACTTTTGAGCAACATGACTGCACCAGTCCTATCATCATGAAGTGAATGTGGTTTTGGCCTTTTCACTTCCTTTGGCCAATGAACATTAGCAAACACAGCACAAGCAGAGGTTTGTGCACTGGGGATTGCCTTCTTTCTGCTCTGTGGAACCCTACAACAAGCATCATGTGTTAGGGGCTCAGGCTAACCCGCTACATGATGAGAGAAATGTGATCATCACTCCAGGTGACACTGCACCAACCACCAGACATACAAGCAAGATCTCCTAAGACCAACTGACCTGCCAACCACCAGACGTAAATGAGGCCACCCAGCCCCAGACAAGATGACAAAGACCATAAGAACTCTCCAGACAGCCCAAAGAACTGTGAGAAATCACTTTAAGCCATTACATTTTCAGGGTTTTGTTTTCTACAGCAAAGGAACGGATATAGATAGGTTACGAACTTACAAT